TGTGCCAGGAGTGATTCCTGAGTGCAAAGCCAAAAGGAAGCTCTGAGAACCATTAGGTGTGGCCCCAAAACAAACAAACAAAAAAAGAAATACAAATTTTTAAAAATCAAATTTCTTCAACAAAGCAACAGGACAGGATTTCATAAAGAGAAGAAAAATCAAATGATTTCTTTGCTTTTCTCCAAACTGTGAGTTTCTATTTCTGATATCATATAGAGTCCTTTGACTTAGTTTAATATATATGCACTCTCTGTTGAATGAGACCAACACTAAATTGAAGTATTAAAATATCATGACTTTAGCCAAAGAACTTTCGTTCATTGGGATTATATTTAGATAAACCAAAGAGATTGCTGAATGTCTACTATACAAAACATAATCTGGTGCTTCCCTCTGTAAATGGAGTTACTCATTCTGTTCTTGAACAGTGCTATACTATTCTATTTGGAAAGATTATGGAAGGATTCATGTCTAAGAGTTTCATTGTCATGACAATTTTACACATGTCTCCTATTCTTTCTTCTGTTATTTTGGATGAAGCACAGATATTTTCAAAAAGATACTTACCATCTCTGTAATTGATCAATAGTCTAGTACTAATACAAAGCATCTGGACGTGATCTCTAACACAGGGATCTCATGTGTTAAGAATGACACATGGCAAAAAAATACATGATGGATTTTCATCATCATGTAACCACTTGAATATAGACTGACTGGAAATAAGTCATAATGATGGAAGAGAGTCATATTGTAGAGTTGCCATAGCATTTTAGTGGTTTTTTTCCCCTTTACCGAGATGTCATCATTGATCAAAATTCCCTTGAGATTAAGTGACTGCTCTAAGTAGTCTTGTCAGAAATAACTGAACAAATGCCAACCTTGCTCCTGGTGAAGTCTGTCTTTTAGGACTTGCGATAATGCTATTGTTGTAGGGTTTTTTTTTTTAACTACGCCAGTGAGTAACTAAAATTTTCTGCACCAAGTTTCCAAGAATACAACATGCCGAACAGTGAGAAACAGAGAAGAGGTGTGATTAATTGTTAATGGAGAGATGCACAGAAGTATCACTCTTGTTCTGTCAGATGCTCCAGACCATGGCACACACTCAATTAATAGCATTGTTACAGAAGTTTGACCAGCAGCTTTAAACACCATCTGCTCATTTCCCTGAGAAAAGTAATCCCTTTTAAAGGGGATATTTAAAAGGCTTCTCAGCCGCTTCTCAAGTTTTCATCAATTCTGGACTATACAGCTAGAGTCTAAGCAGTTCTTTTCAATGAACTCAGTCTTCCTCTTCTTCAGTAGAGAAGTCGGAAGAACTTTGGCTAAAGTCATGATATTTTAATACTTCAATTTAGTGTTGGTCTCATTCAACAGAGAGTGGGGCTTTTGGTCGAAGTATTAACCTCTTTTGCCATACTGAGCATAGTTAGGCCTTCAGCCTGAAGGGGTTTGTATACTATAGCAAGTTTGAGGAATGAGAATGAGTCCTTGGTTTAGGCAAAACAGTGGGATCCCGAGAATGGGCCCAGGGACAAACAGTGCAACGTGAATCTGTGCAAGGGCCAAGGCTTTGACTGAGGGGTGGGCTAGACCTGTTTCATGATAAAAAAAAAGTGTTTCTTAATGTAATATCTAAGAATAAATTTATTTCCTTGTTTTTTGAAAAGAATTTCAGGAGGATATAAGCAGTGAAGTGAAAGCATATTTTATTTGGGAGTTATGAAGAAATGGAAAGAGCGAGAGAGAAAGGGAGAGAGAGAGAGAGAGAGAGAGAGAGAGAGAAAGAGAGAGAGAGAGAGAGAGAAACACTCAGAAGAGAATGTGGGTTTCTCCACACTGGAGAGCCCCAGGACACATAGCAAGTTAAAGAATGAATGTATCAATGTACATCTCAAGAGGGAAGATGTGGAAAATATATGTGCAAGGGCACCACATGTGCTTGGAACTAATTTATGTACTCAGGTAGCATATGTGTCTTTATGAATAAATTAATCTGAAAAAAAGAAAACAAAGCTTTATGGAGCACGCCATTGCTGAATAGAAGCACTAAGGTTTTCAATAATCAAATGTTGACTTTTAGATATATGTTATTCACAGTGACTGTACAAATTGAATTTAGACTTAAGTCTTAAATTTAATATATTAAGTCCCCCTGAGCACTGCCAAGAGTCACTTATGACTGCAAACACAGGAGTAACACGTGAGCACTGCCAGGTGTGCCCACTCCCACCAATAAAGCAAAAATGTTTCATCTTCCCCAGATCTCCCCAGCTTGTGTCCACTCTGGACCTAGAGATCTCCCAAGGAGGACCAGGTGTCCCTCCAGCAGTTAAGTCTGAGGCAGAAGCCACAAACCCACAACACAACCCTTGTGGATCTGAAGCCCAACACAGGACAGAGAGATGCTATCCTTACCTGCCAAGTGCCATCCACTACACAGGTGAGCGGGATCAGAGGACACCCCTGCCCAGTCCTTGTGCACATGGTGAACTCACAATTCCAGCCTCTGTCTGGGAGCTCCCCCTCACAGATAGCACACAGTCTGGGTTTCCGCAAGCCAACTGACTCCTAACACCCCAACTTCTCTAAGTAGTTCCTCCCTCATCCATAAGTCACTGGTGCCTCTTACCTGCCTGGAACCAAGAGACCATCTCGAGTTCACCTCTGGGGCTTCTCTGCCTTCTGTAACAAGGTCTGAATCTCAGTGTGGAGAGACGCAACTGCTCCAAGAGTGTTCTGATCTGAGATGCGCTCAATACGCAACAGCTTAACTGTCTTTTGCTATAATTGATTATTCTTGAATTAAACTTCCCATGCTTGATGAAAACTGTTGTGTGATTTTTGTCTCTTGCTTGGACTCTGATTTCATTTCTAACCTTGCTATCTTTTCAAGGAAGCAGGTCTAGTATGTGCTTTCTTTCCTTTCTAAAGCAAAATATCCATGTGACTTTTCTCATTACTAAAAATTGGGTTCACAAGAGTAACTCCTGAGCAGCATCTCTTTGTCCCCACTCTCCATCTCCCCACCAAAAGTGAGTTTGTAAGGAAGAAGGAAAAGATGTAAATGAGAATAATGAGCTCAGTGTGGCCAATTAGAAATGAAGCAGTTGAAGAAATTGTGTTCTGATGGCCATTTTCCCAAGTTCTTCCTTAATAAAACATCCCTTTCCAAAGTGTTCTCTTTCTTATCAGACAAAAGTAGAATGTCATGAATATTACTTTTTTCTCATTAAACTAGAAAAAATAGTATAAAATAAGTTTTGAAAGAAAAAACTCTAAAATAATAGTTCTAAGGTTGGGAGAGTACAGGCTGGATATACAGTTTTACAGATTTTTTTTTATTTCACTTTAAGATTTTTTATTGAACCTTTGGTAATAGCGTTCTATTTGCTATTTATAGGTTAATAACAATTTAATAATGAATAATTTCACATTGTTTATAGGTTTAAGAAGAGTTCCATTTCTTATGCACTAAATGTTTGTATTCTCCTGCACTACTAAAGTCATATGAAGAATTTCTAATTAACAATTAGATGACATTAGGGATTATGTGGAGTACTTAGGGTTAGATGAGGTCAAGAGAACAGAGTCCTGATGTGAAATTATTGCCCTTATAAGAAAAGTAAAAAGTACCAGAGCTTCCCCTCACTGCCATTTGAGAATAAAATGAAGACAGCTGTCTGCAAACCAGGAAGAGGGTACTTGCCAAGAACCTAATTTAAAGTCTCCAAAGCTTTGAGAAATTAAGGTCTTCATAAAGCAATCACCGTGTCTATTATATTTATGCTAACTGCTTGAGCTGACAAAGATACAATTCTTAACTAAATATAATTAGTGATCTCATCATTTTGCACTACTCATAATTCGGTTCTCAGAAAAGATCATGTTCCAAAAGCAACCGGTGTTGGCGTGGATGTGGGGAGAAAGGGACTTTCCTTCATTCCGGTGGGAATGCTAACTGGTTCAGCCCTTTTGGAAAACAGTATGGACAATTCTCAAAAAAAATTGAAATTGAGTTTCCACTTGACCCAGCAATACCACTTCTGAGAATATATCCCGGAGATGCAAAAAAGTATAGTAGAAATGACATTTGCACTTGTATGTTCATTGCTGCACTGTTTACAATAGCCAAAATCTGGAAAAAGCCCAAGTGCCCGGGAACAGATGACTAGTTAAAGAAACTTTGGTACATCTACACAATAGAATACTATGCAGCTCTCAGAAAAGTTGAAGTCATGAAACTTGCATATAAGTGGATCAACATGGAAAGTATCATGTTAAATGAAATAAGTCAGAAAGAGAGGTACAGACATAGATTGCACTCATCTAATATAAAGTAACAGAAATATAAAGTAACAGAATGGGAGACTAACACCCAAGAATAGTAGAGATAAGAATCAGGAGGTTTACTACATGGCTTGGAAGCTGGTCTCGCATGCTGGGGGAAAAAGCAGCTCTGATAGAGAATGGAACATCAAGTAAAGGGTGTTTGGAGGACCCACTAGGGTTGGGAGATGCGTGCCGGTTGTAGACTATAGATGGAACACAGTGGCCACTCAATGCCTCTATTACAAACTACAACACCAAAAGGAAAGAACAAAATGGAATGCCCTGCCACAGAGGAGGGGTGGGGTGGGGGGATGTAGTGGGGGGGGGGAGGGATACTGGGATCATTGGTGGTGGAGAATGGGCACTGGTGGAGGGATGGGTACTCGATCATTGTATGACTGAAAGACAAGCATGAAAGTTTGTAAGTATGTAACAGTATCTCGCAGTGATTCACTAATAAAAAAAATCATGTTCCCTCAAGCCTAGATTTTGTCTATGCTGTTCTCCTTACCTGAACCATCTTTCCCTTCAACTTCACTACTCCTCACTATCAAAGCTCAGTGTGGATAGTCTTTTCTCAGGAAGCCTCCTTCTACACAAACACACACAGTGTTTGGTTATATTTTTATTTATTTGTTATTGCTTTATCCCATTACTATAATATAAACAATACTATAATATAATAATAAACTCAGTAGGACCTGAAATTAATATATTTCTATCACTGCAGTTACTTTAATGTAAATGGTTCTCCTCATTTCTTTAACATCGTGCAGAGTTAATGATCAAGTTTGCATAGTTTTTTTCTTTTATATGTTTTAATCCCTCAATGTAGAATAAATTGTTGAGATCAGGAATATTGTCTTTTTATATTTATCTCATAATAAGAAAGCAATAAATATTCTTCCCTTGCTTTTAGATTTGTTGGGTAAATCTATAGGGTCTCAATCAATGCTTCTCTCATGAAGTTACATTCTACACTACAATAATAAATTTTACAGATGAAATTTAACTCAAGTCACTTTTCATTGAACTAAAATGGTGGTAAGATATTTGAAAAAGAGAAAATATTTGCCAGATCACAGTTATTTATGTTAGTCTAAAAAGGTCAGTGATCATGGAGTTATTTTTAAATCCTTCGCAAAGTATTATTTTTGTTTGTTTGATTGGTTGAGTTGGTTTGGGGGCCACACCCAATAGTACTCAGGATTTACCCCCGGCTCTATACTCAGGATTCACTTCTAGAGAGGCTCAGAGGACCATTTGCTAGGGATTGTTCTAGGTATTAAATTTGGGTCAGCAGCATGCAAAGTGCTTTACCAACTGTACTATGTCTCCAGTCCCATAAAGAATCCTTTTGGAAGCAAGTTGCTTCTTCTATGCTTCACAGTAAAGTTAGTCTTAAAAGTGAGGACTATTGACAGAACCAGAATGTGAGCTTATACAGGAGCTAAAACACCTGAGTGGGACTAGCTTTCTTCCACTAGAAACAGAACTTCCTTTATAAAACTTTAAATACATTTCCTTGAGGCAATATTTACCATTTGGCAGCTGAAAATGAGCAATTCAATTTTAAACTTTTAGTTCAAACTTCCATATGTTCATAGATGAAGGATGTTATGAAACTCACAAAATAGTTTCATCTAGAGTCAACATTCTTTTGAAATAGTTGACTGACTGGTATTTTTAATTGTTTAGATCATCATTAAAAATTCATCTGATTTGTAAGCTGAGAGGAATAAAGATTATATTCCAAGTATGGTGACACAAATATCTCATAGGGATCTGTCAGGCTGAGAAAGTTTGTCTCTTTGCAATAACAAGAACTCTGAAATATGCACACAGAAAAAGAATATTGTCTTTTGAAATCATAATTGGATATTCTAGACCAGTAAAAGTGAGCTAGTTAAATCAATTGCTTTCAAAATGTTCTAAATAGCTTCCAATTTATAAAATATATTAAAAGTGTGGAAGAGACCCAGAAACTACTCCTCAGATTCCTTAAAAATATTTGTCTTAGATGTGGCACAAACAGATGGACACAAAATATGTTCATTTTCTCCATTCATAATTGTTCTGGAATAAAACTGACTTTCTTAATATAGTCACTTGCAGCTGGTGCTACACTTGTTGGGATTCTAACCATCTCAGCTTTTCATCATCAGCTGCAACACAATAAACATCTTCTTGCTTGTCATTGTGGCAACAATATTAAGGGCAGTTAGAAACAAACTGTGCAAGACCTTTCAAAGCCCATCATTACAAATGGACATGTATATTCTTCCTAGAAACTAGATAATCATGCATTCATTCAAATACAAGAAGTAATCTGTTTATAGTCTAAAAGGCCTATATCATTCAGGAGAAAACGTTCAACCCGATGAGATCAGAGACTGTGATTAGTTTCAGTGGACACATAGCAGTTCAATACCCACCATCCTTGGCAGGTACAAATGAGCCAAAAAGTGACCAGGAACAACATCTAAATGTGTCTGTTGGATTATAGAGTTCCAGACATTCAAAATTTTATGTAGATTTATAACCCAAGAAAATGTAGCATAAGAAGAAAATGGTATCCATAAATCTCGTAGAGAATTTTCAAAGCCCCATACCACATCCCAAAAGTGTCTCTTAAATTATACAATTGTCTGGAGCCGTGTTTCAGAAGCTGTGCTATATATTATCTGACCCCTACTTTCACTGCAAGCCCCATAGTGCTTCACTCAGTCACATCAACTTTTTCATTTTCTCCTTCTTGGTTGAGAATGATGATTATTATTTGAGTAATACACTTGTCTTGGAACCTTTGCACTTTCCTTCATAAAACTTCATAATCTGACAATGTGGCTTCACATTGAAGATTTATTTTGATTTTCTAAACTGCATACACTTACTAATGTTATTTTAGACTTCTCACCAACTTTCTTTTATATTATGCTCCTCGTTGTCACTTACATTTTTTTATTTGTTTATGTGCTTACTTGAATGCTATGGTTTTTCATCACCTACTAATGGAGTGTGAGTCCTGTAAGCAAAATTGTATATTAGACCCCATACCCTGTTCCTGAATGTAGAGCATTTCCTTCCACACAGTAGGCACTCTATTAACACAAGTAGAACAAATGCTTCTTGTTCTTGTATTCTTTCATTGGAATGAAAACTACAATATTAGTACTTTAAAATGTAGGAGTAGTTAGTATTAAGCATTTTTTATACTCGATATGACTTACTTCAAATCCTTCAGGAGCAGAGGGAATATAAAGAAAAATGCATAATATAGAAAATCTGTATCTGCATCAGACCCAGCAGAACATACAGAAATGAACATGTTTACAAAGTTGATTTCATTAAAAGAAAAATTTATTTAATAACCGTATATCAACTTTCTTGGGAAATAAACTTCATGTTGCTTATAAGCACACTCAACATGGCAATAAAAGAAAGTAAAACATCTTTGCATATGAACTAAAAATGACAATAATCTGGTTGGTTTAGTTTACTATTTCAAGCATGATATGGATTATAAACTTGTAGCTTGAGGGCTATTAAAAAACTACAGATCCCTATCTGTAGGAGAGAGATAGCACAGCGGGTGTGGCATTTCCTTTGCACATGGCCGACCCAGGTTTGATTCCCAGCATCCAATATGCTCCCCTGAACACCACCAGGAGTAATTCCTGGGTGCAGAGCCAGGAGTAACCCCTGTGCATTGCTAGGTATGACCCAAAAAGAAAACAAAAACCCAAAACCAAAACTACAGATAGGCAGAAAATTCTCCTCACATATGATTTGGCTGACTGATTAGAATTATGTCAGGGGTCAGACAGATAACACAACAGGTAGGGTATTTACTTTGCAGGTGACTTCAAAACCCAATATTACATATGGTCTTGAGAGACTGCCAACCGTGAGTCCCCAATGCAGAGCCAGGAGTAAGTCCTGAGCACCTCTGGGTGTAGCCCCCAACCAAACAAAACAAAATAGAATTATATCAATACAGTTAGAAGAAATTATTGCTTTTGGGATTTTTGTCTGAATGAAACTTGTCCTCCATTTCTGAACTAAATTGTGTTCATTATTTGTAATAGCATTACTCATGAAAAGGCAGTGTCTAATTGATAATCATTGTAATTTTAAGAAAGAAACTTGATTACATATGATTTTATCTTTTAGCTTAAAAATGAGCAAGAGAAAACAGATTTTCAACTAAATTGGGGGAAAATTGAGAATGTTAACAATATGTTAGAATGCTTATAAGAAAATGATATAAACAGATTAATGTTCATAACTAATCTTTTTTTTTTCTTCTTAGTTTTTCTGCTTTATTTAAACACCGTGTTTACAAAGTTATTCATGATGATTTGTTATAGGCATTCAATATGCCAACACCAATCTCACCACTGTCACCTTCCCAATCACCCCTCAAGTCTGCCCCTTTAGCAGGCCCACAATAATTTATTTTTTATTGCTTGTTAACTAACACTAAATTGATAGTGAAATAATAAAAAAAGTTCGTCAGCAAAACAAAATTTGTAAAAATTGTATCTCACCATGGGAAAATTAATTCCTTGTCTGAGAGTTTACTAAGATGTTGCTGCAAATTGAACCTTCTGTGTTAATGTTCCTTTTAGTTGAGATTGGTTGACTTCTGCATTACATTCCCTTCCAATCTGGTATCAGTGTTGCAGAGTTTGAAGATGTTGCTCTAGAAAATTCAGAAAATTTAACTGGACTGCTTGTCTTGAAGCATGGTGGCAGTTGTTGGGGTATGAGTGAGTATGACTGCTGGGGTTTGGGTGAGGAGGGAACTGACCTGCTCCCTCCTGAGATCCCGTGGAGATATCAGCTGGGAATGGGTGTCCAAGAAATATTTTTGGCTAGCTGCTTTCTTTTGATATTTCATAAATGACATTTTCATTTGGTAGATACAAGGTCATGGAGTAAAGAATAACACGTTGGGTGATTCTGGAGACCATGAATTTTGTATTTAAAAAAATACAGGGTAAAAAAAATTTACATAAATAAAATTTTTCATGTTTATAAATTGTTGAAAACATGTTATCTAAACTATAATAAAATAAATTGTAAAATAAATAAAACATAATTTTTAGTTGTAAATTTAGGGCAGAGTTCAAGAGAGGAAGGAACTATCAGAAAGAACTATTTATATATATCATATGTAAAGCCCAAAACAGCAACTTGTTATCCTTGATGAGTTAATCCAAACCTTATTTGGGACTGGTAGATACTAGAATTCTAACTCTTTACTTGGGTCCTTGAGATATTCGGTAAAAATGCAGGTCAGTTATTTAGTCATGGTACTAGATTACCCTAGGAAAACGAGAACTGTAGCCCTGTGCCCTTAAAAAGCATTTAAAAATCATTAATGGGGCAAGCTAGACTACAACCAAATGTACTGCCTACCTATCAAAATAAGATACAAACATAATCAAATATAGAAAAATAATACCAAGGCACATCTTAAAAACTCTTAAAAGTCAAGAAAATAAATTATGTAAAATTACCATTTAGATGCAAGTAATATTTTGTTTTTTATTTTGGAGACACATTTAGTACTTTCAGTGCTCACTCCTGGTTCTCTACCAAAGGATCACTCCTATTGTGTTCAGGAACCGTATGGAATATCAGGAATTGAACCAGGGTCAGCTGCCTTTCCCACTGTACTATCAGACCCTAGATGGGTGAAATTTTATGCAGAATCCACACCTGACTCACTAAGTCTTCATACTTAACTACTCTTCCTACACTTGTCTTTTCTTTTCCCAGAAAATAGGTC